CGCCACGAATTGAAAACACTTGGACCGATAAAAACTACCAAATCTTGGAAAACAACATCAATACATATGTTGACAGCAATTTGAGCAATCCCTGATCGTTTACCTACACAACGTAATTGAATTTATCCGATCTTCTTCTAACAAGATTAAAAATAGGTCAAAAGTAACCTGTTATTTAACTATGTGCTATACAAAATAATCGACTGAAAATCTGGCTTTCGGAAGGTGAAGTGTGATTCTTTTCGATCTCCAAAGGATTTTTCGGGGAAATGATTCAGTGCGATTTAATCAAATTTTAAAGTTGGATAAAATGAGCTGATTTGACGATGCCGTCAGTTATTCAAAAATGTACACATTCACACGCAAACTCGATTGTTTCGCATTTTACATCCAATCTACAGCCGTATTTAATAATTTTAAATAGACAAATATTCAAACACTACACTTTTCTTTGTCGCATATCTGCAGTGATGTATGATGGGCTATGCCCTTTGCATATCTTTCGCTCTTTTTTTTTGTCCTAAAATGAGCTTTATCCCCCGATGTACCATGAAACATTCAATTATGATACAATAAATTATGCTCGGAGTTACATAATCGTTTGCTCTTGTTTCGTATATGTAACACACGACCTTAGATCCTGTAGCCACGTGCTTCATAGTCCAATGTTTTACTTTTGCGTTTTATTTCAGTGGACCTCATTTTGAATTAATTAGCGTTATTCTGCACGCGAGAAACATGTTTCTGAACTAGCAACATTCCACTTACATTTGGTTCACGGTTCGGTTGTAGACTTATGATTAAACAAAGATCTCTTACGCGAAGTATTTCAACGAAATGGGAATAGAGAAACCCCGGCCCGAGATACGCTTTGTAAACAATCATTATCAGGATGTGTTGACTATCCTGCCACGTTCCATTGCTATTGAGGGAGCAATGCAACAATTTTAGGATTGCAATCCCTTTTGTGATACAGCAGTATGGACGGTAAGATGATATTATGTTAAATAAGCTGTGGATGGGATGTAAAATGCGAGACAATTGAGTTTGTGTGTGAATGTGAACATCTTCGAACAACTGACGGCATCGTCAAATCAGCTCATTTTATCCAACTTTAAAATTTGATTTAATCGCACAGAATCATTTCCCCAAAAAATCCTTTGAGATCGAAAAGAACCACACGTCACCTTCCAAAAGTCAGATTTTCAGTCTATTATTTTGTATAGCACATGGTTAAATAACGGGTTACTTTTGACCTATTTTTAATCTTGTTAGAAGAAGATCGGTTAAATTCAATTAGATTGTGTAAATAAACGATCAAGAATTGCTCAAATTGCTGTCAACATATGTACTGATGTTGTTTTTCAAGATTTGGTAGTTTTTATCGGTCCAAGTGTTTTCAATTCGTGGCGCGNTATCGATTTTCTCGAAAATAAATCGATATTTAGCCAAACGAAGTATGCAGTGCTTTGTTTCACCATAGGGCCTACCTAACTTGAGAATATGAGCCGAATCGATTTTTTGGCTGTTGCCACCAAATGTTTGACCGTTGGTAACATTCGCTCTTAAGATTTGTGCGTAAATAAATACAAACACCGCCCCCTTTCCTTCCATTTACTCTACGGTCTTTTTCTCTTATTTTAAAAATTGTTTATTTCATCTTTGCATGCTATTTTTGGGGGCTGGTTGGCTGCATGTGATGCTTAATGCATGTGATGCTTTAATGTGACAGCGTGATGCTGTTAGTGAGCTTCTATGCGCTACCAGATGTTTGGCTGTGTAGCCGCGTGATGTGGTTCCAGTCATTACCCACTAATTGACCCTTGCTCACCATAGAGACTCCTGTAGCTCCGTGGTTAGAGCATCCGACTAGATCATGGAGGGTCGTGGGTTCAAATTCCATCTGAAAACTGGATTTTTCTCTTATATTAAAAATTGTTTATTTCATCTTTACATGACGTTCCGAATATTTACAAAATCGTTTGGAATGGAGAGAGGATAAGCCCTCTCTAGTTTTGTATATATTCCGAGGAAGTTCTGAAGTGTTGACATACATATTTCTAGTAGTCTCTTTCGCAATAGAAGATTACACGATCTTCACCATCTTTCGCACGGATACGAATTAATTTTACGATTAACTTTTGTCATACATGTATAACTAACGGTTGTGGTAACCCGAATTTTTCTGTTGCGCGTATGAGGGTCGTCAGTATTATGGAAAAGGAGGTTTGATTTGTGACATAAGGAATAAGCCTAAAAGTTGGCATTCAATTATCCGACGTCTAAAAAAGCTTAATTCCAGTCTAGCCGTGATGACGTGATAGCATGTAAAATTCAACACCCAAGAAATGATACCAAACCCGTAACAAACTCACCGGGGGTCCACTTGATCCTGTCTCGCCACGGGGTCCACTAGGTCCAGGAATACCCTTATCAAGGAAAATGATTACAAAAAAGCAATTTAAACAGTGGGTAAAGAAATGAAGGAGTGCACAGAGAAAATGGAAGACAGTTAGACAGATAGACAGACAGAAAGACAAACAGACAGGCCGACAGACAGACAGCCAGGCAGACAGACAGACAAACAGGCAGGCAGGCAAGCAGGCGGGCAGACAGACAGACAGGTAGGCAGGCGGACAGACAAACAAACAGACAGGCAGACAAACAAACAGACAGGCAGACAGACAAACAGACTGACAGGCAGACAGACAGGCAGGCAGGCAAGTAGGCGGGCAGACAGACGGGCAGACAGACGGGCAGACAGACAGAGAGGTAGGCAGGCAGGCAGGCGGACAGACAAACAAACAGACAGGCAGACAAACAAACAGACAGGCAGACAGACAGAGAGGTAGGCAGGTAGGCAGGCAGGCAGACAGACAGACTGACAGACAGACAGAAAAAGAGAAAGAAAGACAGATAGACGAACAGAAACGCAGACAGACAGAAACCCAGACAGACGGAAACGTAGACAGACAGATAGACAGAGAAGGTTAGAAGAAAGGGAACAGAAGAAGAACGGAAAAGAAATTATAGGTATGAAAATGGATGGAAAATGGCTTGATAAAGAATTTTTTTTCTATTAGTAAGAAAATGAAACTATAATTGATGGTGAAGAATTTTCCACTGACCGTTTCTCCTGTTCCTCCAGGTTCACCTTTCTCTCCAATCACCTGTAGGTCAAAATAATCCTTAATACCGATTGATCAGCGTATTATCTTGGGAATTTGAATTAAGTCAACACCAACCTTTGAAAATTACACCAAATATAAGATACATTTAAAGGTATCAGATATGAATCCGAAAAGCTGGCGTCACGCGCGCAGCCTTGAATTAGCCTGCGTGCAGGCTCTCAATATTAGCACTGCGACACACGCGCTTCTTTACCGGCGAGAAATTCTGAGTCTTGGTAAAGCGAGGTGACGAGAGATCTGCTAAGCCTCCCGGTTAGCTCAATTGGTTGAGCCCCGGCCGGACCAACACTGAAGGTCTTAAAATAACTGAGGAGAGTGTGCTACCTTTCTATNCGAATAAACCGTAGGTCCCGTCTCCTGCATCTATTAATTAGTTCATTTGGTTAGGTAGGGGACGTCAAAGAACCCACTCACGAGATTACTGTGATGTGGTCTGGTCTGTTTACTGGGAATTGGGGGTGGGGGCATTGTTAAATTTACCCTTAATCGATTGTAAACTGCTTAGCAGTCTGGTAAAGTCCCCCGCACAGTGTTGTAAAGCGCCATGAGCTCAGGATATGAGCGCGATGTAAATAGAAATTATTACTACTGTTATTATTATTAAGGGTGCTGCCGTTTCAAACTTTTCCGCAGGAAGAGGAAAGCACGTCCTACGACGCCGATAATGAGGGCTTGTTGCCCTGTAAGCTAACCTTGAACTCATAGAGTCGTCTAGCTGTGCCTAACCTCTTTGCTTGAGCACAATTCAAGACTTACCGTAACTTCAACTTTGCACAACTGTTGAATAATGGGAGCAACGGCTTCTCTGGGTTTTCTTAAGTCAAGCGGCACGACAAAAGGATATCCAGAGGACATTTCTAATAGCTCGACCGGATCAGGAGAACCAGCGCCAACTGAGAAAACTGTTACATTCCTGTTTTTGAGAACCTGTGCGTTGTCCTGTGGTTTTATTATTGTTGGTAAATTAGGGTTCTGTGACTGCTTACCATCCGTGAAAATGATCAGCACCTAACAATAACAAAATGAGCAGTTGAAACAACATGATTTATTTGATAGGCTGAATCATAAACGCTTTTTGATCGGTTCTTACTTCTGATTTTTAAACGCATACGTGACGTCATCATTAACGACGATTTAGTTCGTTATTATATAAAACTGATAGATTCCACGTTGCTGTGTGTCTTTACAGTAATGGATCACAGAAGACGAAAAAATATGGTAAGAAGATCAATATCACACTCGGCTGCGCTTTGTGTCCCACTTCTTAGTTCCTGCCACATTTTGGAATCTATCTGTTTACTCGCTTGCAAAACGAATTTGGACATTTCTTGTCATATTCAGCTGAAAAGGTTCGTTGTACAATTAAGTATGTACAACATGGCTCAAAGTCGGAATAACAAACGTAACGTGACTTCCAAAAACATAAAAATGTTTGGTTTCACTATAGTAGCTAAATCATACTTTGCATCTAAACTGAATAACTGAAAACACGAAACCACGCTGAGGTTGAGGTAAAACCACTGAAAAACAACTGAAAATAGTACCCAAAGTACGTTTTGAGCAGATTTAATAAAAGTGTCCACATGGAAATTTTGGAGCACCGCGATCGGAAAAATTTAAGCTTCAATTGAATGTACGTACAAGTGTAAATTTTGATTGAATGATTTTATTGTCGCCAGGCAAATGTACTTCCCCGTAAGCAAAGCGTTTCACTTTTGTTATTTCATAAATAGTACTCTGTTTCTACATGAAGAACGAGAAAGAAAACCCTTGAAAACCTTTATCTACCAATTCAATTAGTTTGGCGAGTGCCC